TTTCAAGCGAAAGGCTGAATTAAAAGCTGTTAAGTGATCAGCGCTGTTCGGTAAACGACAATTAGCACTCGGGTACACGCTTGTTAACGAAGCTCCGGGTGGCAATTACCCGTCGACGCGCACCGGCCAAGAATCATCGCACATCCAAATGACAAAGAGCCGTTCACGCTGGACTTCCGGATTGCCGCGCGTATTGTGTTTGAGCGAGGAGAAGATTGGCGGTTTTCTCTGTGATTGATCTCGGGCGCTTCTAAGGAGCACGGAGATTACCGAACATTGCAGCTAAGCATGTTAATTATCCGGTGTCGTCACGAATGAGGAAGGTCTTAGGGGAATCGAGTTATCGTAGTGATTTGGGGCTACATCGTCAGTTCTTTCTAAGCGTAACATCCTTAGTTACGAACGCATTTGAATTGAAGGGGCCTTTGATAGGAGAACGTATCGAATCGGTCATAGTACTTGGCGTAAGACGTGCTTGAAATAGGCCAGGTCCATTATTTGCCATTTTTCTGCTTCGTGTGGAGAGTGGTTTCCTTGATACGTAGCTTGGTTGTCTCCACACTACAGTTACTTGCCTACCAGTTTTGTGCTTAGTGCGTTGCGCATCCGTTCCTCGCGGTAGCTGTGAAGGAAAATGTGCAATGCAGTTGTTTTCGCACATGATCCTAAAGGTCGTGCGTAGCCCCACCGCCACGCTGCCTCAATGTCTGCAAAAAAAAAACAGCTAAGTTCACACACCGACGGCGGACCTGTGGAACGCTGAACAATACAGTTTTACTTGCCCGTGGGATTGAATTTAAGCTCTTGAGGTCTGGACGTCACTAATGGTGCCAGTTGTTTAACAAATCGCTTGCTTATGATGTAGTGCGATTCTTTCTATTCCTGGTCACTATCTACAGTATAAGCAGCCTATGTAGCGTCGTTGAGGTGCACAGTTTTTCGTTGAATCAACAAAGCACTGAACACAATTTTCCTCATGCACAGTCTGTTCCCCGCCACACACGGTGGGTTGTTCGCGAATGGGGAGCGCATGCACGGATGGCCGAGTGGTCTAAGGCGCCAGACTCAAGCGATGCGTTCGCTTAGCACACACGTGCCCCACTGAGCGTTCTGGTATCGGTAACGATGCGTGGGTTCGAATCCCACTCCGTGCAAAACTTTTTTCTTTTGATGCCACGTAAAATTCGGATGTTTTTTCGTCTAAAAGCATCTTAGCATTCGAAAGGCCACGTGCAATTTTGTCCAAGCAGAGCGGAGCAGCGACTTGTTTGTAACTTGCCCTTGTTTCCGTCCTACTTTTGGTCTGCAACCACTCGAATGTCGTCAACTGAGCAGCCCCTATGCGGGATTTACGATTAAGAGAGATTAGCAAGCGATATGCGATGAATCTGTTTACGTTTTCGGGGCGCTTATCCTATTGCCCAAAGCGGTTCAGCCCATCCATGATCACGACATCGCTAATTTAAGCCACACGTAAACCTTCCGACAGAGCGGAAAGCGTCGAATGTAATAAAGTCTTTTCTAGAAGGTTGCGCCGTCCTAAGCCGATCTCGTTCTTCACAAATACGACCCCACCCCCAGACAAATTTTCACCTCTCTGCTGCAATTGTAACGTGGATCGAAAGTTCCGAAAAGCTCTAGAATCGTATATACGAGTGATTTGCCTGGGCTCTTGGTTCGCACACGTGCACCTGCACGCGCACCTTCCAGGCCCTAAGCAGCAGCTATCAGCGCGTGGCTTCGTCTAATGGCGGCCTTCATAGAGGACTAAAACTGCAGCCAAAAGATCTATTGTTGTTTGAACTGGGAGGGTTCCTCTGATGCCCGAAAATCATGGTTCGGCTTTTCCTCTACTTCATTCACGCATTATCGACAATCTCGTTTCACGACTTTTCGGAGCTCTCTTTAGAGTTCCTGTTTCATCGTCATTGTCTTTTTCCTGCAGTTTTCCTGTATGTCCATCGGTAGATTAGTCTACGGTAGGTCTCGGCAGGTACGCGTCGCATCGCTTGGGTAACCCACGCAAGGCTTCCAAGAAGTGGAGCAATGCGCGGTGGACCGAGCTCGATTCCCGTCTAAACAAGCGCATTAGCGTGCAATTAGCATTAACCGGTGAGCGCGGCCAGGTAATCAAAGGCTCTGCGTCATTCCCACCTCTCAACCGGTTGACTTCGTCTTCTCCGGTCGTACTGTACAGTTTGCATGGTTATGGCGCGAGCCCCATGCCTTAACGCTCTTGCACTTCGTGCTGAACTGAGCATTACCCATGGCGTTTCGTCTATACCCTTGGTATATGTTGAGTGCATGTCCATGGTCTTTGCGCCATTGGTGATCCCATTGGCGGTAACGGCCCGTCGAGGGGCAGTGCAACTGCCTTATCGGTGTACTGTGACGCTTCTGACAATCGAGTACGTTTGTAGCCTTTCAAACTGTTTTATAGTTACTACCCTATTGACAATGCCCTGCCACCCATACGTGACAGACGCCCGGCTGGTGCACTAGAGCACAGCAAGGAGTGAGAGAAATTTTAGGAAAGCAAAGTTATGTGCAGCCGTTCAACAAAGCTCGCAGGCGACTGCCGTGTGTGAAACTTCTATAAGAGTTAGTTGACAAGGCCCTGCTGGGTATTAGTCATACGTCGTCAGCGTATCTCCACCTCTAATATGCGGAGATTCGGAACGAACAGTGCATGTATGTATCTGTAGTGAATTCGACTTTGTTTACGTTATAAGACAGTTTCCAACCGTCCGTTAGCTGACAACCTGCCGCGCGCGAATTAGTCTCCCATTCACGGGAGTGTATTTTTGAAATCCGTGCCGTACTCCTACGCTTTCTTCATCCGCGCACAATCGGAACCAGGATGGCACCCACACGCGCGAATGGCCACTCCATTCATCCTCGAGCCTTTTTGGTGGCAATTCACACGGAAGCGCCAAGCGCCGCGCCGTCGACGGGCGAGCCGAGGGCCAATGAAGCGCCGAATAACGAATGCGCTCGGGTGACGGGAGAATCGACTCATGAATTCTGCGCTGGCCATTCATGGCCCTCAATAGGTCCGTTGTTTTTGGCGCGGGGAGGAGTCAAGCGTCATGCGCCTGGGAAGGGCCGCCTTTCTACGGCCTTGCGCTATTGAGCCAGCCTAATCCCGTCCGAATTCCGAGAGGCTCCAGGCTGCGCAGAGAGTGATGAGAACGCACAGCAGCTGCGCAATGACTGAACGGCATGCGCACCAGGGCAAATGGCGAGTATGGAACAGCCACGGCACCGAGCGCGGGCTACGGTAGCTCGAGCTCGGTGGACGATGAAGTGAAACGTAGCTTCTTAGCTTAGCGCCTCCCCGCGCGACGCCCATTCATGCCGTCGTCGGCGCACGCCGCACTCGGTGAACGGCGACCGAAGGTGTCACCGCGACGCACTCTCGCCACTCCTGCCTATAGGTGCCAGCTTGTCCGTTTCCTTTCAGTGAATTCCCCGTTCATTTCATGCTTAATGTAAGGGCGCAGCCTAGTTCTATCGTATTTTTGTGCGGGTATACTCCGCGAATGCATAATGTGGGTTTCGTATAAGAGTTTAGCTTTGAATAGCTTTGGAAATAACAAGCCTTCGGTATTATCATCGGAGTGGGGAGTTTCTCATAACGAAAAACCCATGTAAATACTAATGGTTGCAGTCTGCAAGGCGTAGTCTTATCTTGAAGACTCGCAGCATCCTGTCTTTGTGCAGCAAAGCCTTGCAAAGTGTCAGTCTGGAATTCGAGTCGCAGGCTAAATTTTTCTTCTAAAAGCCTAAACTCAGTATGTATATCCGCTGTAGCAACTCAAAAATGTCCCTCACGTTCATACTTAAGGGCTTTCCCCAGTTTGCGCATGCACCCCTCACGCAGGTCACAAGTCACTGTCGACGAATTCACACAAGCATGGCTTCGCATTTTTCTCCGTGCGCAAATATAAACCGTATAGCGCAATTGCATTCTCGCGCTGAGTACGCGCCCGATGACGGATTTGTAGCCTATTTCTGATAGCCGCTGGGGCGGAAGCGTGACAGTAGTTGGCTGCCGAAGGGCTTCGGTTTTAGCTGGTGCTTACCGAGAAAATTGTGGGTGAACGGCATCTGAACGTCCTATTGCCCTAACGGTGTGAAGCCAGGTGGATGTTGACAGAAAATGTCTTGCGGTGTGAAGCGCTTGAAGTCGTTGGGTCTCATACGATCCAGGCACGTTGGACTTCAGCTTGCCTTTTGGTTTAGTACGCTTGGGTTTAGTATAAGCTGACCACGGAATATCATGACCGCTATTCTTTCTGGCCCTATTGGTAGACAGAGTTCAAGGGTGCTGTCTATCGCTAAGGTATCGCATCGAGTAACGACAGAAGCCGTTGTGGAACAAACACATGCGTTTAGCCTGGCCCTCTATTCGCCGCATAAACAGTTTTTGCAAGCAATAAGTATTGGCCACGTAAGTAGCACCCGGAAATTACCTTCCGGGGAATGCCCTGGCATGAGTCGGAATCCTTCCTGGAGAGGAGCGCTTCCGCGTGTTATCGCGCGTATGGGTGTAGCTCAATTGCCAATTATCACCCTGCGGGGCTTTGTGCTCGCCTCCAGCCGGCTTCTCCATCCTCCCTCATGGGGCTTCTAATTGACTACGCTTGATACGCTTGCTCTTACGTTGGCTGATTAGCGGAATGCGCGGAAGAAATACTGCGCACAAAGCAAAGTAGGTATGCAGCGGCTACAGGGCAGCGTGAATTGTCGTCGCTGATTAAATTTCGCAGTTGAACAGAATTAATTGCGAGTACATGGCCGATCTTTGTTGCTGCTAGTACGTGTACAGTGGGACCGATGACCATGTATGGGATTCAATAGCACTAAATTTTGGCGCGCTCGGGCTTCGCGATTAAAAGTCCTAACAGAAACGAATGAAAGTTTGACAGTGATGTGCTTCAGAGTTGAAAAAATTCGATCACTTTGTCTCCAGTAACAAAAACGGGCACCAAAAAATCGGGCTGAGCCGGGGATTGATCCCGGGACCTCTCGCACCCTAAGCGAGAATCATACCACTAGACCACTCAGCCACGTTGAACGAACTGTATCGGCGGGTTTAAAAGGTCGCTTGTGTCAAGCTTCTGACTTTTCCCGCCTAGTAAGGCTGAGGTCCGGAATTGTACATAAGTCCCAACCACTCTAAACGAGAAGCATGCTACTAGACTATTGCGTTCTTACGAGCCCATTCAGCAATCAAGAGGGCTAAGCCGTTTTCTTGCAGGCGACGCTATATGCGAAGCGTGGTTAGCGTGCCGAATTCCGTAGTTATTTCCAGACCCAACACAATCACTTGCATCGTGCCTTTAAAACAGACAAGTCTATTTGCTGCAGAGGATCGCAAAGTTCGCAAAAATGGTCAGCGTCAATCCACTGTGGATAGCACTTATGAGGTCATTGCACGAAGTGATTCGCCTACTAATTAATATCTGACATCTATGTGAGTAAGGGTTGAGCTAGTCGGACTAATGACGGTTTCCGAGAATAGCCTTACCTACGGGACCATATGGGACAAAACGAACGCCGTGTTCCCGTCCTACGGCTTCACACGTGTGGGTCATTGCAAGCGGGCCCAAGTGGGAAACAATGACGCTCGGCGCGCAGACAGAATAAAAAGCAAATTGCCGAGGGTCACTGACCGGCTGCAACGTGCAGGCATGGAAAACCTCGCGCGTGGGCGCTGGGTAGTCAACGGATATCGCTCATTAGGGTCGGCAATAGTTGGAGACTGAAAAGTTGCTAATGAACGCTTACTGGAAATTCACACTAAAATTAGTCAGGAACATGCGTCTAAAAGGGATCAAGGTGCTAGGCAAACTATATACTTTATGGAGTTTGATGAAGATTTTAGTTGCCCATTGCATGAAGAAAAGCATTGTCCCCATCAGAGCGCTGCTATACGTTTTTTAAGAACTTTGTAAGAGTGTTGTCGTGTTTGTTCCTGGCTATACTATCGTGTGCACATCCCGTTTTTTAAGCACGCCCAATATTGTTCAGCATAGCAAAGCTTAGAAAGCGCGTAATCTGTTTGCGAGCAGCTGTTCTGTCATGTCTTCGATCAATGTTCGCTGGTGCTGAAAAAGTGATATCGTGCGGGTACGGTTTTCGAGGATTTCTTGGAGCGATTTACGCCGCTGATCGGTTTTCCTCGTGCCTCGAATCCGTCGGATTCGTTGACGTAAGCACTTAATGCCGTAGCCGCTTACCGTAGCCGCGATCCGCGCGGGGCTTATCCACGCAAGCACGCTTCGTAAAAATTAGATTATGCGCTCATTGCCGCGCGGGAAGCCTCACCGCCTCGGACGTGTGATATTTGCGTGTCGATGCCAACGGGAAATCACTCCATGCCCGCAGATGCCGCTCCTCGTACTGGGGTAATTTGAAGTGCGACTCTAACATCGTGGACGTAATAAGTCCAAGCACTGCCGAAACGGTTAATCCCGAACGCGATTAGCGACCGTTTTTCTCATTAATTCCAAAACTAACGCACATAACCTTTCCTGAATATAAGTCCTTTCTTTGGTTATACGGCGACGCAGAAGCAAATTAAAGCGGTCAACAGAGAAACGCTGCCAAAACTCAGCAATTGGAAGCTAATATGGTAGAGTGGAGCGTCCGAGGCATTATGCAACTAGGGAATCCTACAAGCAGCGACATTCATTCCGCTCAAATACTTCAAGTGAGATTGGGCAGTGTATCCCAATAATACTATCAGACCTCGAACACGGTTATCGCTGGGGCATCGCATCCAGTTTACCTTACCAAGATACGGCGCTTTGTGGCCTACGAAGCGTCTCATCATGCCTATCATCTACATGCACCTGATATTCTTTTTGGCGAGAGTCTAGATGTGTGCGTGTCAATCTTGTTAGGCAATCATGCTAAGGAAGTCATACTTCGCATATCTCAGTTGAGCGTTACACCCTCGTTGAAATGATGTTTGAGACCTAACGCTAAGTCCAGCGGTCTAGTCTTCCACGTAAAAAGCGTTACTACGACCGTCAATACACGATCGACATAGTTAAGCGGGACGTTTAGAGTGGACCTACCCTAAAGTATAAAACGTGCAACGTAAGCATAGCGCTAATTATTAAACTGAGGCTGGGCTTCTAAGCCATCATGCTAAACAGCAAGCAGTTTCCAAGTAAAAGGTGTTTTCGTGCATGAAGCCTTAGGATCTACCGAGAACCTACAAACCCTCGCGGTTTAAAACCGCGTGCCCCTACTTAGCTTGTTAGCGCTCATCTTTGGGTCTACCAAGCGCAAAAGGAAGCGACAGAAATAGCTTTGTCTAGCAGGATTAACCGGAACTCGCGCTTGTTTTGAGTGGCTGAATCTTCCATATACAAATCGACTAAGGATCGGCTAAGTGCTGAGACTGGCTTTTGAGAAATTCAGGCATAGGTGAGACCGACTAGGATACAAGAAGCGAAGCCATTAAGAACTCATAAATCTCCGTCTTGAGGATTTCTGTTTTATGCAGCCATAGAGGGTGGAAGCAATCTTGGCTCCGGACGCAGCCACATTTAGCCACTCATTTTGCGCTCCCATGACTTTGATCTGAGAGCACCCAGCTTGCCTGGGCTGCTCTCGATGCACTTCATCGGATAAAATGCTGTCCGGCATGAGACAAAAGCGCCCTCAAGGGACCGACCGCATAAGCCCTCAGGTGGGATTAGTCCCGTGACCTTAGTCCACGCGCAAAACAACCGCTGCATTGTGCGCAAAACGGCGACATTCCGCTCTGCACCGGATGACACATAGGTATTACAGGAAAACCGTATTCTTCGAAGTAGCGAGTGGGATCGAAGTAAACAATAACGACAATTGAGGAGATAATTAGCGGTGCGTACCGGGTAAGTATCTCATGCGCTAACGTGGAGAACGGTCATGAGATAGGACGCCTATCAAGAGGACTATTCAATGTAGCATTAACGACTTCCGCTGCATACCGCGTAAACAAACATTTTTCGGCCAAATTGCAAACGAGTAAAAAGTGTCGTAATAACTCCTCTTGGCAGCTGGGCTGCTAGGGCGAATTAGTCTTTTTGCATCCCCTGTTTTTGTGTGTACAAAAATATGCTGTTACGAAAGTGTCGTGGAACGACCGAAGCGTAGTCATCGAAGGAAATGCAAGAAGTGTACCGGAAGTGTGTTACCGGCAGATAGGGCTACGGTACGCAGCGCTGCAGTAGTACGCTCTTAGCGTAGTAGTAGGCTCTAAGGGCCTTTGAGCAGTAGTAAAAACTTGGACGGGTTTCGGTTGGTGTCTTCAACGAACGAGATGATTTAAAGGTGAAGGCGTGCAACATCAATGAAGACACAAATTTTCGACTTTAGGGTTGACCCTGCCCCCTTCCCCATCGTGTCGTAATTTTCCATGAGCCATCTAAATGTTCGCTTCTACTACTGAACTTTCGTGCTTTTGCGGAGCTCGTAATGTGTCCGCTGCGTGTCGTAACACGTATCGTACTATTGCGTTAGAATGGTTACCCGTTGTTTGGGTCCCGTTCATTTGGGTCCCTGAAAAAACATTCAAAAAAGTTGCGTGTTTCAATGCATCCAGGCACTTTTGCCCTTGTGCAAGCGTCAGCTTGTGTACCGAGGTTCCAGCCAGATTTACGGAGCACCAGATCTTAGGGTGGGTCAACGTTCTGACAGCCAAAGTTGCCCTTGGTCCTCCTTACCCAAAATCCCCTTTGTGCAAGCGTCAGCAAGAAGGGTTCGCGGTGGGATTTTTTTGGGGGTTTTCGGGTTTGTTTATTATCGCAAAATCGCAAAAATCCAACACCAAGGGGTCCCCGTTTAGAAAATTACAGCATCCTATATGATGGACAAAATATTAAAAAAATGTAGTGTACCTAGAAGTATATCCCAGAATGATCCCCATGCTCTAAACCGCCGAGAAAACGTGTTTCCCTGGTAAGTCAAATTTTTTCCGTGCCAAGTGGTACCTACCTCTGGGGACGCATTAAAAACACGGCTTTTTTAAATATTTTTTCTGGGACCCAAACGAACGGGACCCAAACAATGGGACCCAAACAAGCGGGACCTAAACAACGGGACCCAAACAACCTGCAGCCGTCAAAATCACTGACTGTCGATACGCTAAAACCGTGGTTTCCACCTTTCAGTGTCAATTTCCGGCAAAGCGCCCGGAAGAAGCGCAAGAAGTCAAAGGAAGAGCGCAGCATTGCCGAAACTGTGTATCAGGCGCCGGAAGTCCGCTAGGCCGTAAAGGATAAGCTACCATCATCGACGTCTAAGAGGATTTCCCCACTCTTGAAGCAAAGATCTACCGCTGGTGCCGCGCTTCATCGCCCAATGAACATGTCCGCCGCTGCGATGGCGGCAGCGCTTCAGTCGCAGAAGTCGCGACGTAACTTCCTCATCGACTCCCTTCTCGAGGAGCGGCAGAAGAAGATGCAGGTGCCGCTTAGCGCCATGAAGCAGGACAGTCTTCGCGACGAGGACGACTGCGTGTTCTCGCCGCACTCGTCGACAACCGAGTCTGCCGCCGACGTTGAAGATGCTCAGATGGAAGAAGGCTGTGGCGCGTCTCTACTGGGTGATGTTGGACGAAAGAGCGTCGAAAGCGATGACAGCGAGGAGGAACCGCTAGCGCTGCTAAAGAGAGGGTTAGTATGATGCTTCACATATGGATGACGAATCAAGCTCCATCTGGAGAATGCGGACTATTGTAGGTTTAATTGTTCCACCACAGCGTCTTTCATGTGAAAACTAACTTATTAATTGAGTTTTTAATCTCGAGCCAAAACTGTTAGGAGGAGGGAAATTCGAATTTATTTCACGATAGTTCCACAAGAGTAGGGTATGGATATGTAGCAGCGATGTCACGCTAAGGCCACCTAAACGTGTGATCTCCGTACTATCGGAATCCGCACATTTTTCTTCGATTATTCCCCTGCCAAGCTCAAATACCAGCAGGCGCTTAGCGAGTCGTTGACCGCTTCCAACCTGGCTTTTGCTCATCATTTCTCGGAGTGGCCGCTTTCCATATAGAGACGATGCC